TTGACCAAACATATTAAATCAGCCCTAAAAAATCCAGTTAAGGAGAAAGCAATGGGAAAAGTTTCCCACCTTAACCAAACATGGCCTTGAAGATACTTTTAATACGAAGAATTAAAAAAAAAAAAAATTCATTAAGTGCCCCTTAAGGGGACAATAATAGAAGAAAAATGTTGTAGAATCCAAAACACACTGCAAAAACCCAGTGATGAGAGAGAATGAGACGTGGCAAACCTTTCTTTTCCAGGAAATCAATCAAAGGAAGGGGAGGACCATCTTCGGGATGCTTTTCTATATGTTTTTGCTTCAAGGTATTCCAAGCAGTTTTGGCGGAATTTATTTCCTCAATTTCATCAAATTTGTTTGGTCCACATGAAATCTGAATTGCATGCAGAGCAGCAGCATCCTTTTTAATCCACTCCTTTATATCAACTCCAGCTGGCGCACAACTGTGTAGAACAGCATCCCAAAGATCTTGAGAAACTAAATAGCTTTTCATACAGATGCTCCATCTCTTATAATTGTCACTTGCAAGAAGTTCAGGGACAATCATACTTGCAGAATTAATCTAACCACATATATCAACAAATTAATATTAGAATGACAAGCGGCTATTTTGAAAGCCAAACATCCCCAAAGAAGGGGGGAGTACAAAAGGGGAAAAAACTGCTAATCTTGCCTTTGGAGTTTCTTCTTCTTCTTCTTCTTCTTCTTCTTCTTCTTCCTTTTTGGTACATTCTTCTTCTTCTTCTTCATGTTCTGAAGTGAGATTAATTAAATCAATTAAATTTGCCTTAACTAATTCCACGATTTAAAAGTTTGAACTTGAATTCTACACATTATAATACTATCAAGCAAAAGAGTACAGAATTACATGCAAATAAAATCCCACATCTTTTGCCAAATTCATTTAAACCAAATGCAATCTAAAACATATGATGTCATATAAACACAAAAGTGGCAAACCTGAATTATTTATTTTTGATTTCTCTGCCTCATTATTTATTGTTTTCAACTCATTCCAAGCTTCAATTGCCCAACGCATCTTCTTTATTTGATTAAATTTTTCTGCTCCACATGAAATTTGAATTGCATGCAGAGCGGCAGCATTCTTTTTTCTCCACTCCTTTTTAGAAACTCCAAGACCCGTTGACAAGCGGTGAGTAACTACCCAAAGATCTTGTGAAACTAAGTAGTTTTTCATGAAGATACTCCACCTCTCATAGTTGCCTCTTTCTAGAAGTTCAGGGACAATCGTACTTGCCACCCAAAGCGGAGGATTGCTTGCCTTTGGAGTGCTTTCATCAGTTTCAGGTTCTGTTTTATGCATTTCGGCTAACATATCCAAAGCATCTTTTGCTGAACGGGTATACTTTATACGAACAAAGCTTTCTGGTTCGCATGAAATCTTAATGGCATTCAGAGCAGCAGCATTCCTTTTTCTTTTCTCAGATTCACTAAACAACTGTTGCCCAGGGCCGAATGGAACAATAATTCCATCCCAAAGCTCTTGAGAAATCAAATGGTCTTCCATGAAAATGCTCCAACTCTTATAATTGCCCCTTTTTAGAAGTTGAGGGACAATCAAAGTTGCAGCACTAGTATTTGTCATTGCCATAACGTGGATGATCTAACAAACAAACAAACAAACAATATATAGTTATATACAGCAAATTAATATAAATCATGAGAATGACAGAGAATAAAAGATCGATACAATTTTTGTATAGGGGAAATTGTTTATCAACTGAAAAATTGGGTGAAAAATACTTTAAAATTGGGCGAAATGAACTTTATTTACCGAAGTGAAATATATTATCTTAAAAAATAAAATTAAGAAACTATATATGATCATAGTTTAGGCTACTGCATGCATATACCCCGATCAAACTGAAACTTTCGTAGCTAGCGGAGACTATTAGAGAACTCAATGTACTAGATAGCAATTACAACAGATTAAACTAAACTGCTTATAAACTCATACAAA